GAGTATGGGTTCGAGTCACTTCTGGGGTGTGAGTTTTCAGTTATATATATATATATATATATATATATATATATATATATATATATATATGTCGTACTTAGTAGCCAGAACGCACTTCTCAGCCTACTATGCAAGGCCCGATTTGCTTAATAAGCCAAGTTTTCATGAATTAATTGTTTTTCGACTACCTAACCTACCTAACCTAACCTAACTTTTTCGGCTACCTAGTCTAACCTAACCTATAAAGATAGGTTAGGTTAGGTAGGGTTGGTTAGGTTCGGTCATATATCTACGTTAATTTTAACTCCATAAAAAAAATTTACCTCATACATAATGAAATGGGTAGCTTTATCATTTCGTAAGAAAACAATTTGAGAAAATATATTAATTCAGGAAAACTTGGCTTATTAGGCAAATCGGGCTTGCATAGTAGGCTGAGAAGTGCGTTCTGGCTACTAGGTACGACATATATATATATATATATATATATATATATATATATATATATATATATATATATATATATATATATATATATATATATATATATATATATATATATATATATGTATGTCGTACCTAGTAGCCAGAACGCACTTCTCAGCCTACTATGCAAGGCCCGATTTGCCTAATAAGCCAAGTTTTCCTGAATTAATATATTTTCTCTATTTTTTTTCTTATGAAATGATAAAGCTACCCATTTCATTATGTATGAGGTCAATATTTTTTTATTGGAGTTAAAATTAACGTAGATATATGACCGAACCTAACCAACCCTACCTAACCTAACCTATCTTTATAGGTTAGGTTTGGTTAGGTAGCCGAAAAAGTTAGGTTAGGTTAGGTTAGGTTAGGTAGGTTAGGTAGTCGAAAAACAATTAATTCATGAAAACTTGGCTTATTAGGCAAATCGGGCCTTGCATAGTAGGCTGAGAAGTGCGTTCTGGCAACTAGGTACGACATGTATATATATATATATATATATATATATATATATATATATATATATATATATATATATATATATATATATATATATATATATATATATATATATATATATATATATATATATATATATATATATATATATATATATATATATATATATATATATATATATATGTTGTACCTAGTAGCCAGAACGTCGTACTCGGCCTGCTATGCAAGGCCCGATTTGCCTAATAGGCCAAGTTTTTCTGAATTAGTATATTTTCTCAATTTTTTTTCTTATGAAATGATAAAGCTACCCATTCCATTATGTATGAGGCAAATTTTTTTGGTTGGAGTTAAAATTAACGTAGATATATGACGAAACCTAACCAACCCTACCCAACCTAACCTAACCTATCCTATCTTTATAGGTTAGGTTAGATTAGGTAGCCAAAAAAGTTAGGTTAGATTAGGTTAGGAAGATTAGGTAGACAAAAAAGTTAGGTTAGGTTAGGTTAGGTAGGTTAGGTAGTCGAAAAACAATTAAGTCATGAGAACTTGGCTTATTAGGCAAATCGGGCTTTGCATAGTAGGCTGAGAAGTGCGTTCTGGCTACTAGGTACGACATATATATATATATATATATATGTCGTACCTAGTAGCCAGAAGTCACTTTTCAGCCTACTATTCAAGGCCCGATTTGCCTAATAAGCCAAGTTTTCCTGAATTAATATATTTACTAAAATTTTTTTCTTATGAAATGATAAAGCAACCCTTTTCTCTATGTATGAGGTCAATTTTTTTTATTGGAGTTAAAATTAACGTAGATATATGACCGAACCGAACCAACCCTACCTAACCTAACCTAACCTATATTTATAGGTAAGGTTAGGTTAGGTAGCCAAAAAAAGCTAGGTTAGGTTAGGTTAGGTAGGTTAGGTAGACGAAAAAACATTAATTAATGAAAACTCGGCTTATTAGGCAAATCGGGCCTTGAATAGTAGGCTGAGAAGTGCGTTCTGGCTATTAGGTACGACATATATATATATATATATATATATATATATATATATATATATATATATATATATAATATATTATATATATAATATATATATATATATATATATATATATATATATATATATATATATATATATATATATATATATATATATATATATATTATATATACATATACAGATAATGATGAAGCTGAACTTAAGTTTTATTATAAATTTATATACATATCTAACTAGGAATACGTAACATAAACCAGTTGATTGACAGTTGCGAGGCGTGACCAAAGAGCTAAAGCTCATCCCCCGCAAGCACATGTAGGTGAATACAGGTGAGTACACACTCACACATACATGAAATGAACGGGAAGTGATGATATTTGTGAACATTAATGAAGTCGAACCTGAGATAAAAGGTAAGTAAGCTATTATAAAACAAGAGATGAGGTGGAGTGAGGCAAGATGAGGTGGAGTGAGGCAAGATGAGGTGGGGTGAGGCAAGATGAGGTGGAGTGAGGCAAGATGAGGTGGGGTGAGGCAAGATGAGGTGGGGTGAGGCAAGATGAGGTGGAGTGAGGCAAGATGAGGTGGAGTGAGGCAAGATGAGGTGGGGTGAGGCAAGATGAGGTGGAGTGAGGCAAGATGAGGTGGGGTGAGGCAAGATGAGGTGGGGTGAGGCAAGATGAGGTGGAGTGAGGCAAGATGAGGTGGGGTGAGGCAAGATGAGGTGGGGTGAGGCAAGATGAGGTGGGGTGAGGCAAGATGAGGTGGAGTGAGGCAAGATGAGGTGGGGTGAGGCAAGATGAGGTGGAGTGAGGCAAGATGAGGTGGGGTGAGGCAAGATGAGGTGGGGTGAGGCAAGATGAGGTGGGGTGAGGCAAGATGAGGTGGGGTGAGGCAAGATGAGGTGGGGTGAGGCAAGATGAGGTGGGGTGAGGCAAGATGAGGTGGAGTGAGGCAAGATGAGGTGGGGTGAGGCAAGATGAGGTGGGGTGAGGCAAGATGAGGTGGGGTGAGGCAAGATGAGGTGGAGTGAGGCAAGATGAGGTGGGGTGAGGCAAGATGAGGTGGAGTGAGGCAAGATGAGGTGGGGTGAGGCAAGATGAGGTGGGGTGAGGCAAGATGAGGTGGGGTGAGGCAAGATGAGGTGGAGTGAGGCAAGATGAGGTGGGGTGAGGCAAGATGAGGTGGGGTGAGGCAAGATGAGGTGGGGTGAGGCAAGATGAGGTGGGGTGAGGCAAGATGAGGTGGGGTGAGGCAAGATGAGGTGGGGTGAGGCAAGATGAGGTGGGGTGAGGCAAGATGAGATGAGGTGGGGTGAGGCAAGATGAGGTGGGGTGAGGCAAGATGAGGTGGGGTGAGGCAAGATGAGGTGGGGTGAGGCAAGATGAGGTGGGGTGAGGCAAGATGGGTGAGGGTGGAGTGAGGCAAGATGAGGTGGGGTGAGGCAAGATGAGGTGGGGTGAGGCAAGATGAGGTGGGGTGAGGCAAGATGAGGTGGGGTGAGGCAAGATGAGGTGGGGTGAGGCAAGATGAGGTGGGGTGAGGCAAGATGAGGTGGGGTGAGGCAAGATGAGGTGGGGTGAGGCAAGATGAGGTGGGGTGAGGCAAGATGAGGTGGGGTGAGGCAAGATGAGGTGGGGTGAGGCAAGATGAGGTGGAGTGAGGCAAGATGAGGTGGAGTGATTCAAGATGAGGTGGGGTGAGGCAAGATGAGGTGGGGTGAGGCAAGATGAGGTGGGGTGAGGCAAGATGAGGTGGAGTGAGGCAAGATGAGGTGGAGTGAGGCAAGATGAAGTGAGGTAAAGCATGAACACCAAGCTAAAGCAAAACTAAACAAAGTAAGCAGACAAGGCATGGAGCGTTAATAAGTAAAGTAAAAAGTTACTAAGACCAAAAGAGAGAACTATATTAATAATACAAAAAGTTCATATGAAGTGTTCCTAGTGTTGGAATAAGTTCAGGATGAAACAAAGTTCATTTACGTTTAGAGTAGAACAGTTTGTCAAATTTCAGAGATAGTCAAGACGAGAGAATGACTCGTAAAGAAGAAACATGTGAGAGTCAAGAAAGTTAGTGCCATAGATAAGCATCCCATGTCATCATCTGTGCCCACTCTCACGTTTAAACAATCTTCCATCTCTTTGTGTTTAATTATCTCTATCTCTTATCTCTTTCTTTTTCTTGCCCTTGTTTATGCTTCTCTTATGCTCTTCCATCCCCTCTCTGATAACTTCGTTAAGTTCCCCTCTCACCTTCCTCTGTCCCATCACAAATCTTTATCCTGACCCCTTCCAAGTGCTTTAAAATCATAATGGCTTGGCGCTTCTCCTGATAGTTCCTTTCCTTTCCCCTCACCTCTTTCGGAGCTGCAGCCTTTAGCGCGAAATATATGCTTTTATTGTTCAACATACACCTTACCCTCTTTCCTCACCTCCCCACAACTCTCACCTCACCACACCTCTTACCTCACCACACTTCTTACCTCACCACACTTCTTACCTCACCACACCTCTTACCTCACCACACCTCCTCTTACCTCACCTCCTCTCTTGCCTCTCAAGGGCTTCCTTCCCTTTTATTCATTTCTTAAGATCCAATATGGACCGAAACGTCACCACTTTCCATTAATTTCACATATGTGTGTTGAAGGTTGTGGGTTGTGTATTGTAGGTTGTGGGTTTCGGGTTGTTGGTTGTTGGTTGTTGATTGTGGGCTGTTGGTTGTAGGTTTTGGGTTATAGGTTGTGGGTTTGTTGTTATAGGTTATAGATTTGGTTTGTTGGTTTATATAGATAGGTTTGTTGGATTTGGTTTTTATGTTGTGGGTTTTGGTTAGTAGGTTGTGGCTTGGACTGGGTTTGAGGTGGCGGCCTATCAACATGTGGAGGGTTATTAACCCCACCATAACAGCTTGCCCCTCTCCAGCAAGTGTACTTGTGTGGTGGTGATATAAGGCCAGGACCAGCGTCGACTCTCGCCATGTATATGCTCCCAGCCTCAGAGTATACCTCTGGCATTATATCTCCCGGTGTTCATTAATATTTACCTTTGGTGCTACGTTTTAGGCGTATTACCCCCGGGAGAGTTATAAGAGCCTTGCAAGAGATGGCCGCCATGCACTAAGCTTGAGTAATTAAACTTCGCATCTCAGGCGTAAGCTTCTTTGGCATTTCTTATTTCTTGAATGTCTTGTCTCTTTTTAAATTGTTGCACTGATCTGTTTGTAGGAGGTAACCCCCTTTCGTATCTTCTTAAACAGTTAACTTTTAAGGCTAATTGAATATATATTATATATATATATATATTATATTATATATATTATATATTATATTATATAACTGAAAACTCACACCCCAGAAGTGACTCGAACCCATACTGCCAGGAGCAACGCAGGCGTTGCGCGATGGTCAAGCGGATTAAGGCGTCCCTGTACGTACCAGTTGCGTTGCTCCTGGCAGTATGGGTTCGAGTCACTTCTGGGGTGTGAGTTTTCAGTTGTATATAGTCCTGGGGACCATTCAGGCTTGTTTGCATTTGTGTTCCTCACGTGTGCCCCAAAGAATGAGGTGATTTGATAAAATGCTATGCCCAAGATTACCATCCGAGTGCCGGCGGGGAAGTGGTTCAAATAGCTTCGGCTATCACTTCCTTATGTCCGGTCGTGATGGTCAAGCGGATTAAGGCGTCCCTGTACATACCAGTTGCGTTGCTCCTGGGAGTATGGGTTTGAGTCACTTCTGGGGTGTGAGTTTTCAGTCACACACACACACATATATATATATATATATATATATATATATATATATATATATATATATATATATATATATATATATATATATATATATATATATATATATATATATATATATATATATATACATATACATGGTTACATATATCCGTGCCTAATGAGGATATGCCTCTTCCTCCCACTTTCAACTCCAACATGATAGGTATCGTCACTCCAACTGCCAGCCCACACGTCGGGACGCTTCAACACAGTCTCCTCCCCTAACCTGCCCTTCCCGAAAGCTCCTCTTGCAAACTACCCTTACTCTACCAGTCGGCCCTTCAACTCCTGCTACACTCCTGCATGACGTCCACAACCGGCATATATATATAGCATTAGCCAGCGACCCAGGACTCTGACGATTAAATGCGACTTCAGAACACTTAAAAGATTTACTGAACAAAAAATTGTACCACTTACCAGCTTTTCATGCCGTGCCATCTCTTGGGTGGCTTAATCTTCATCAATCAATCAATCGACCCAGCACTCAGACGGCTTCTGGTGCTCTTTTTGTGCATATATCTTCCCTAACTCGATGTGGTCTCCTCTACGACGTGTGACGGAGGAAGTACAGCACCGTGTAAATTATGTACAGCCACCATTGTTGTAAAGTGTAGTAAAGTAACGTACATTCTAATCGTTTTTGCCATTGTTAAGTGTTAAGCCAAGTTTCAGGGGGTTTGAAAGTTTTTGTTGTTTTCATCATTTATAAGTAGTGTTTAATTTTTTATTGTGTATTGTTTTCCCTGCACCTGTTCACACCGCAAAGGACTTTAATTAGTTGTATTTTAATTTGTTTTTACGTTTTTTCTTCAATGTACGTTAGGCACACAAGGGCTGCTAGAGGTCTCCGTATGAGGGTGTGAGCTGCTAGCCTCTCTCAGTCTTGACACAGCTTTCGTGGATTCTGCACCGGGGGCGCGGCCCTCCGGCTGTTATGGGTTGGCGCGATGGGGACCCCCTCTTCCCCTATTCACCGTTCAGAGACCATTGGTCTTGAGTTTATGGATCGGACGACATACCTCGCTGTTGAGGTTATTCTCATAGATATGCTACGTGTTCATGTGGCGGATGTGTTTGGTGTCCAGCTGTTAACAACTCACCGAGTTCTTGTCAAGTTTCACTCCGCAGATATGTTTAACGACTTTGTGGCCCGTTATGATGGGCACTCATTTTTCCTCCCTGGAGACGAAGATACTGTATCTATCTCCGACCGATGTTGCTCTCTAACTTATGTGGCGTTACATGGTGTGCCCTTCGAGTTCATGGAGGCCCTGCTACGACGGAACTTTGGGAAATTTGGTGCCGTGATTTCTCATCGGTTGAATTCTGTCTCTTCCGGAAGGTAGCATGGGATCACGTGTGGTACCCAGACACTCGCCCTACGTCTGAAGTCTACCGACTTTTCCTCGGTTACGTTGATGGGATATACTATGCGTGCTTTTTATGCAGGACAGCCCAGGACTTGTTTTTGATGTGGCGGTGTGGGCCACCAGGCGGCAGCATGTGTGGGAGTGGCAGCTGCACTGGTGAATTTGTTCCGTGAAAAGGATTTCCCCCATTGGTTGGCGACGATCTGTCGCCTTGTGATGTTGTGGTGGAGGGGCCTTCCTTGCCATCTGTTCGTCCCATGGTCTTACATGGTTCCTCAGCTGGTGTACCCATGCGTGCAGGTTGTGGCACTATTGCAGTGGTGGTAGTGTGTGGCGAACCTCTCCAGCAGTTGGCCATATTGCCGCAGCTTCGTGCCCCTCACTGTGGCGGGCCTTATCGCCTCAGTGAGCTCCCATTCCTCTTCTGTCTTCCTCTCCTTTGATGGATCCGTTGTCTCTGCGGGCCCCTCCACTTGTGCTGGACCCTTCACCTGCACCGGCCCAGCGTCTCCTGTCTCCGGTTTCGATGTTCCCTGTGAGGTGTGGGCTGGTGCCCCATGTCGTCGCGGCTGCTATGATTCGTGGACGCTTTTTCCCCGCCGTGGGGCAGCCGGCCGAGGATTCTTCTCCGATGCCTCTTGCTGGTGGCGACAGCTCTCACGATCAATGCCCTGTCCCGAAGCGCTCTCTCACGGATAGAAGTGAATCGCCTCCTCATGCGTGGGATGAGGAATGTAAGATTGAGGAGTGTGATGTTGCGACTTCTGTGAGCTCTTCCTCTGTGGAGTGCGAGGATGGTGTGCCGGTGGCTGGTGTTGATCTGGCGGTTCGCTTAGACCCTGCTGGGACTCCTGTTGTAGCGGTAGAGCCGTTGTGGAGCCTTTAGCTCCTAATTCGGGTGCCTCACCCGCGTCCGTTGGTTCCGGGTCCTTTTGGGGGGGGGGGGAGGGGGGTTCCCCTGCCGGGGTTGCTGGTGAGTGTGAGCGTGGTGGACTAGTAGTGGTCCTGAATAAGGCTGCTCGCCTGGTGAGTTCCGAACCCCCGCCCCGGTGAGTTCCGAACCCCCGCCCCGGTGAGTTCCGAACCCCCGCCCCGGTGAGTTCCGAAACCCCGCCCCGGTGAGTTCCGAACCCCCGCCCCGGTGAGTTCCGAACCCCCGCCCCCTGTTTCATCAGCAGCGATCTTGCCGCCTCAGCAGTCTCCGCCCTCTTCTTCCGTGCCTCCTGCTTCGTCGGCGGCGGTGTTACCGCCTCGGCAGTCTCCCCCCTCTTCTTCTGTGCCTCTGATTGTGTCGGCGGCGGTGTTACCGCCTATGCAGTCTCCGCCCTCTTCTTCTTCGGTGTCTCCTGCTTTGCCGGTGGCAATGTTGCCGCCTCTTCCGCCGTCTTCTTCGTCCTCTGCCCATGGTAGGTCGGGGCCACCCGACAGTCCACCTGATATAGTGGTTCTGACGTATATGAGAAAGCTGCGGCATTGGCGGAATGATTACATTACCACACAAGAGAGGAAGATTTGGAATGCTTATTGTCAGAAGTATCCGATAATGCTTTATCCTGAGAAACATAATGAATATTGATGTCTTTGTTATTGCAGCCTTTGCTGCTATGTTTTGCAGTGTTTGTTTGCGGTTGAGTGTGTGCTTCTGTGGTGGGTGGTTGTGTACGTGTGTAGTTGGGATGGTTGTTCCCGGTTCCTGTGTGTTCCAGTTTTGTGTTTGCTTGCTTTGCTTTGCATGTGTCCTTTCTGGCTTGTTCTTCCTGTTTTATGTTATTTATTTTTCTGTTTATTTTTCTTTATTTCTGATCTGTAATTATGTTTTTATATGGTTATGTGGTGCTGGTTCTTTATGTGTGTCTCTGTCGTTTTGTGTGTGTTCTTTATGGCTGATTGTGGGTTATGTACTTCCGACTCTCTGTGTTTTGCCAGGCTGGTTGTATTGGTGTACTGTTGTATTTGGGTTTATTATTTGTTGGGCTTGTTGATTTTCTGTATGTGTGTGCTTACGACTTTTTGGATTTGTTTATGGGTGTGTTTTCTTGGTTCTGTTCATGGCTCCCTTTGTCCGTATTTTGTCTTTTTTTATTTATTGTCATTTCTGTTTTGGTTTATGTATAGTGCCCGTTTGGAGTTGTTATTTGTTTGTGCTATTTTTTGTGTACGTTTCATTCTTTGTTTCCTTGTTATGTGTATCCTGTTGTTTTCAAGTGTTGTTACTCTGTTATGTGTGTCCTGTTTGCTTCTATGTTTTATTTCATTTGGTGCTTGCCTATTTTGTTCTTTGACTCTTATGTACTCACATTTTCCACAAAAAAAACCACTTACGGGCTATTCATGCCCGTGCCACCTCTTGGGTAGCTTATTCTTTATCACTCAATCAATCGACCCAACACTCAGACGGCTTCTGGTGCTCTTTTGGTGCATACATCTTCCCTTACTCGATGTGGTCTCCTCTACGACGTGTGACGGAGGAAGTACAGCACCGTGTAAATATTGTATAGCCACCATTGTTGTAAAGTGTAGTAAAGTAACGTACTTTCTAATCATTTTTGCCATTGTTAAGTGTTAAGCCAAGTTTCAGGGGTTTTGATATTTTTGTTTGTTTTCATTATTATTAAGTAGAGTGTTTAATTTTTTATCGTGTATTGTTTTCCTTGCATCTGCTTACACCACAAAGGACTTTAATCAGTTGTATTTCAATTTGTTTTAAAAAAAATTCTTTAAGGTGCGTTAGGCACACACCACTAACCAGGGTAGTAGCTGCGCTATCTCCAACACGTCACTATATATAACTGTTTGTCATTTACTAGAAGATGATTTATTATCTTTATTAAGTAATTGGCTAATAAAGCTCCTCTAATAAAGTAACATGAAGGCCCTCCATAGGAGTGGTGTTAACTTCCAAGGACCCCATGGGGCGTGTCTCGGCTCATGTCTTAACTGTTCATAATCT